ATATACACATATGTATGTATATTTTTACAGTTCTGTGGATTGAGCCCAGGCCCTCTTCCCTGTGCTATATTGCCACCTATCTATCTATCTATCTGTCTGTCTGTCTATCTATATATTAGAAAGGGTTTCACAGAATCATTAAATTGCCCAGGCTGGGTTCAAAGTTGAGATCCTCCAAGATTCCACACACGCACCTCTATACCTGGGTAAATATAATTTATAGTAAAAGAACTACCATTGTAACAGGCATTAATCTGTTACTTGTCAGTGTATGGGGGAAAAAGCTAATTATGATAACACTCCCAATCCAAGATGCTTTCCTGTTTGGATTATAAATGAGCCTATCAAAAAAGTCTGTCATTTGGGCACTGACTATGCTACTATGGGACTGGTTGGTGAGAAAGAAGCAGGAAGTCTGGCCTTAATCCAGAAATTCACTATCCAGTTAAGGCAAAGGGACTTTCATGGATGTTAAAACAAGGGAAGCATGTGATAAATGTCAGAAAAGAGGTGCAAAGGGTAAATTCTGTAAGCATTTGCAGAAGGGAGCTGTGGTCATAGGCCTGCCCGCCAGTCTGAGACACTGCGTGGGTGGGAGGCGTGTGCCTAGAGCACTTCGGGAGTCACCAGCCATGAACGTGGGCCTCTTCCTCCATCTCCTGTACCAATAACACAACTGCATTTTTACACCTGATGCAACATGGTTTGGTTTGGTTTTTGGTTCTGGCCTGAACTCAGGGCCTTCACACTGAGCTACATCCCCATTCCCCCACTTTTTTTTTTTTAACAGTCTTGCTGAATTGCTAAATTGCTCTTGCTGGCCTCAAACTTACAATTCTCCTACCTTAGACTCCCAGAGGGCTGGGATTACAGGCGTGCACCACCATGACTGGCACGATACAGCATATTTTAATGTTAACCATGAATGTTAATTGTTGGTGGTTAAAAGGAAAGAAAAATAGTAAGTGCACATGGTATAAATAGGCAAGTTAAGTCGTAATCTTTACTGAGGAACTGTATCCTGCAGGCACAGCATGAGGCTTGGGCATCGTGTGATTGGGCTGAAATGGCAGTGTTCCTACCTTCTCAGATGAATACAGACAACTATCCTTATTCCCGTACATTAAGAACACTCCCTTTATAGCATGGTCTGGGAAATTAAGTGCAATTCAAGGCATTCAATGATTATTTCAACCTGGGGGAGGAAATACTACCAATGGGGCAGGGATCAGAGAGAAAGAGCCTCCTTTCCGAGAAAGGTCGGATAGGGTCTTCACAGACAGAGAAGCCGGGCTTCCCAATACTGGACTTGTCTCTACTTTTAAAAATTTTATCCAAAGCAAATCAGTTTTGGAGCCATGAGCCACAGCTCCCGCTTTCCTCTCAGTACCTCCAGAAGCCTGTGTCTTGGAATTCCAGAGGATTTGGGATGCTGGGGGTGTCCAGGGCAAGAAAACTGTGTCAACGACACAGGGACGTTTCCTACCAGCTGTCTGGCTTTTTTCTTCTGGTTCAGAGTGAGTGGTGGGTGCTCCACCTCCTTCAGCCACGCCTCCCTGGGCAATTTAAACACATCCAGCCACACGTCTCCAGCTCCTGTGTTGGGAAGTCAAAGAATCCCTGAGCAACAGCAAGCGGGCAACAAGTCCCAAGAAGGGCTGGCCCTGCCTGCTCAGAACTGCTGGCTTCGACTGCAGCACCTCTGCAGTGGAACACAAGAAGGTGACTTAGACAGACGGAAGGAGATGTTCTCTTGCCAGTGTGATTGCAAGTTTCGCGAGACAGATAGGAGCAGAGTAAGGTGACGTACGGCTGCGTGCAACATGGTATCCTGGATTGAACCTGGAGTAAAAAGTTATGTTAGTGGGCCAGGGATTTTGCTGCCTCTCTCGTAAGCACAAGGTCCTGAGTTTGAACCCCAGTACAAAAAAAAGAAAAAAAAATTATGTTAGTGAAAAAAGCTGACGAAATCAGGAACAAAATCTGTGGTTAACAGTTCTTAGTTAATAGTTTTAGAGGGAGGGAGGGAGGGGAAAAGGGATTAAGATGTGTTATGTACACATACTACCTCCCCAGAAGGAATATAAACATTAGGTCCTTATAAACTAAAATAAAAAAATAAACAATTAAAAAATAATCATTATGGGAAGAAAGGAGCTAAAGGTGTAGGGAAGGTGGGATGGGTAGGGGAAGAGAAAAAAGGGAAAAGAAAAAAATGCGAGAGAATAAAAATGAAACTAGATAATAAAAAAATAAACAATTAAAAAATAATCATTATGGGAAGAAAGGAGCTAAAGGTGTAGGGAAGGTGGGATGGGTAGGGGAAGAGTAAAAAGGGAAAAGAAAAAAATGCGAGAGAATAAAAAGATGAAAATAGAGTGTTTGTAGATGGGGAGGGGAGGAGGGGGTGAAGGGAGGGCAGAGGTAAGGGGAAAAAATGAGAATCAAGACTTGTCGTGTAGAGGTACAAGATCCCAACAATGAATGTAACTGTACTGTATCCCTAAAATGTACCAATAAACTCAATTAAAGCTGGAAAAAAAAAGGCAAAATTAATAAAACATGTTTATTCATAAAAAAATAATCATTAATAGTACTGTATCAAGGTCGTTGACTTAGTCTGGTATAAATGCTGGTGTCAACACCAAGGCTTGGTGAAGGTGCTGGGGAACTCTGTCCTGCAGCTGCAGCTCTTCTGTGACTACAGCGCAACTTCTAGAGTAGTCATCCGGGAGGGGCACACGTGAACCCTCTCCACTGCCCCGGGGTGACCTTGCCTTGCAGCAGAAAGGCTGCGAAGTCCCCGCCTTGAGAGATCTCCATCTTCACACAGGTGGGCTGCTTGCTGGTGTCATCCTGAAAAGAAAAGAGATGCAACAGAGTAGGAACCACAGAGAGAAGCATGAGTTTCAGGGCCTCTTGTGGTTGATACCAGAGCACGGATCCTCTTCAAGCCCGGGACAGGAAAAGGCGCCCCCCCGCCACTGCCTCATACGCCCTGTCCACACACAGGAATCACATGAGATGGTTTGTAAAAAATCGGGACTGTTTCCTTTCAAAAGCTTTTTATTTATTTATTTAATTTTTTTTGGAGACAGGGTCTCACTATGTAACTGAGACTGACCTGGAACTCACTATGTATGGTTTTTTTGTTTGTTTGTTTGTTCTGTTTTGTTTTGTACCGGGGATGGAACTCAGGTCCTTGCACTTGCAAGGCAGGCGGCGGAACCACTGAGCTAAATCCCCGGCCCTGGAACTCACTATGTAGTTCAAGTTGGTCTCGAACTCACAGCGATCCTCCTGCCTCAGCCTCCCGAGTGCTGAGATTAGAGGTGTGCACCACCACGCCCGGCTTATCAAAAACTTTTAGACTCATTTCCGGTGCTTCTTGGTCTGCTAACAGATCTCCTGGTCAGGTCTGCAAACTTAAAGTCTATGCTGGCAATTGTTCAATTAAATCACAGTCAGTTCTGTATAACACTGAAAACCGGGGGTGGCCAGATGCAGGGCTCCATCATGGTCACAGCAGAGCCTGGACGTGACAATACCCAAGTTTCAGGTACAGAGAGAGAGTTCCAGTGTGCATGGTTATGCTCAAAGGAGCTTAAAGACTACTAGCAAAATGGGTGGTGAGACTAGTTGATAAGCTTTCCAATTTATTTAGGGAGAACTACTTGAAAATATATATCTTAGTATCAACTTGATGTTATGGAAATTTTCAAACATAGAAAGAGAGAAAATAACATAATAAATCTCTAGAACCCATTTTTCTCTCTCTCTCTCTTTTTTTTGGACCGGGCATCTAACTCATGGCCTTGTGCTTGCAAGGCATGTGTGGTGACACCGAGATACATCCCCAGCCCTACCCACTTCTCAATATGACAAATATGATTTTATTCATCACCAGTCCAACTCAGTGAATTACTATTTTGCTTTTCCAAATCCCTAAAATATCAGCAATAATTCCTAAATACCATCTAATATTCAGTTTGTTTTTTATCTTCCTTTTGTTTTGTTTATTTTTGATACCAGGGGTTAAACTTGGGTCCTTGGGCTTGTGAGGCAGGCTCCAGAACCACTGAGCTAAATTCCTGGCTCGCACTTTCCTTTTGAAATTAGTTTGTTCAACTCAGGATCTAAATGAATCCTGTGTAGTTCCCCCCAACCCTTTTTCAGTACTGAGAATTGAACTCAGCACCTTGTACTTGCCAGGCAGGTGCAGTGCCACTGAGCTACATCCCCAGCCCTTTCCCTTGTTAGCTTTCAGAATACTGTTTGTGCTCTTATCTAGCAACTTCTAAAGGTGACATCGAAAATTTTTTTAAGTACTATTAATGAGAAGATGGCCTTAGTCTTAGCACTTGCAGAAGGACTGCTTGAGCCCAGCCTGGGTGACTTAGTGAGACCCTGACTCAATAAAAAAGGTCTAGGGATGTAGCCTAATGCAAACACTCTAGGTTCATCCCCAGTACTGCGAACAAACAAACAAAACCAAAAAACCAAAAAAATAAAGTTTGACTGAGGTAAGAGAATTTGTGTTCTGCCTGGGTGTGGCACAAAGGAAGGAGAGAACAGCTCTTCTCAGGCATATGAGGAAAAGTTCTCAGAAAAGGAGAGGTGCTTGGTCTTGAAGAATGGCAGAGATTTAAGAAGCACATGTGGTATGGGTAGGGAGACAGGAAAGAGAACAGCACGGGCTTGGGAACAGAAATGTGAAACTGGAAAATGCAGGGGTTTTTTTCCAGTACTTCGTGCAGGTGCCAGTTTGACGCTGAAGAGAAAAATCTGGACTCAAGTTCTTTAGTAACCTTCTTCCCTTGACAACTGGCACTCAGCTTGCACACCTGAGGGAACGGCCTCTTTGGATTGAGTATTTTGGAAGAGGCTCTGACTAGGGAGGTGTCTATTTCTTTCTGATCTAGGAGATTTAGTGTTGCCTTCTGAATAAGTGAGCTTGATTTGCTTCCCAGTTAAAAGTGAGCACATAGGAACTTACCACTTCGTTGATGGCTTTGACTAGGAACAGACTGTCCTTATACAAGTAGAACAGTCTGATGATACCTGAAACAGAAGAGCCAGTGGGAACGTAAGACAAGGGAGCCACAGAAGTGTGGGGCTCGCTACCGGACCCTCTCAATGACCATCTGGGTCCTCCTCCCTGCTGCCCATGCCTGTGCTACCCAGGCACCCTGGAATGCTACCCTGTCCTTATGCCCAGCCCCTCACCTGCCCAGCCCCGCCTGACTCTCCCGAAGCTTTCTATGAGCACCTTGGCCACAAACCCCGCCCGTGAGTCCCAACCACCTGTTTGGCGTCTGATCCCTCCTGCTCCACACTGTTATCCACTGTGAGAGAAAGGATCATCCACCTGCCCAAGGGCCTCAACTCTAACCACACTCCTCATGCAGTGCATTTAGCTGAATTAATAACTGATTCCATCACTCTGGTTCCCATTTAACCTGAGGGCTTGAATGTACAGTCATCCCTCACCATGACTTACCTGTTTCTGCAGGTGCCTCCCAGGTACCCAGAACCTTCCTCTGTGCCTGTGATAGAGGCCTCCTTGAGGCATCTGGCCACAGTGGGTGGCAGCCTGACTCAGTCTAATGGAGATGCATGGGCACCTCTTCTATGCCAATGATTGTGCTAGGGACACAAGACTGTTGGCCTTCAAGTCTGTCAGCCTGAGGATTGCACAGACATGAAAGCGCAAGTATAATGCACTGTGGTTACTGTGGTCCTTGCTGTAGCCCAAACTCCTGAGCAGCGGTGTTCCCCACAGGGGTCCTACAGGTGCCTTGAGGCTGTGCATGCTCAGGTGGAATTCGCTGCTCCTCAGAACCTGTCTCTGTCACTGCTAGTAAGGAATGGCATTGCCATCTTCCCAGCAACCTTGGGCAGGGAGGAGGACTGTTGTTCCTCACTGTTGAGATACTCTTCACCTCCTCCCTTCCTGTGCACATATTTCAACACTCACTAAGTTTTTCCATCATATTCTCCTTTTCATTTTTTAAAGATTTTTTATTTTGCGCTTTTTTTTTGTGTGTGTGTGCCAGGGATTGAACTTGGGCCCTTGCCTTTGCAAGGCAGGTGGTGGAACCACTGAGCCAAATCCCTGGCTAATTTTATGCTTATAGAAAAGTTGCAAAAAAGTAGTACCAAAAGTTCCCTTATATCCTTCATCTCATGTCCACTAATAGGAACATCTTACATAACCACAGTGTATTTCTCACTTTTCACGTTAACAGCCTCTGCTTTGGCCCAGACCTTGACAACCTTTGCTAAATGAAGGCAGCAGTCCTTCCTGGTCTGTCTGCCTCTGGCTTTAACTACGTTAGACTCCTGCCTGGGGTTCTTCAGGGTGCTGGCCTGGGCTGGCTGCTGTTTGGGGAGAGGCTTGCTTTCACGCATGACTCAACTCAGCGGGAGCTTTCTGCCCTCCTGCCCAGTATCACACAGTCACCTCCCTCCCTGGTCAGTGCTGACATTGCCTTCTCACACCTCTAGAGTAGGGAAGACCCAAAACCAGGGCAGCAGCATGGGCTGCCCACAGCTAAGGGCACGCTAGAGGGAGCACAGCCAGTTTGGGGGCAAACAGTAGGAACAGTTTACCTATCCAGGCCACAGACCATGGTTTCTATGCCATACTCCCCAGGGAGGCTATGGGAGGAAAAGCAAGCTCTGGTTTACATGAGAGGTAGGACTGCTGGGTGCTGGACTGGAGCGGATGCTGGGGTTTGAAGCTTGGTTTGAAGCTTGCCTATGACACCCACTCTCTATGTTACCTCAAGTGCATTACATAACCGCCAGGCCTCGGATGCGTCTTCTGAAGAGGGACAGTACACTGCACTTTTCTCTTAGGACTGCTGTAGGGATTAAATTCTGTAAGAATTAAACAGTGCCTGGCACACCATATACCTTCTGTAGGTATCTATTACATGACCAGGGAGCATACTATAGGCCTTGTCCCAGTCAGACCCAGAGAGGAAATTAAACTCAACAGTCTACAGGCTGTTAAATGAGGCTAAAAAGGAAGATGAAGAACAAATACCCAGTTCATCCACAGGAGAAATAAGTATTTCACTCCCTAAATCTGTGACCCAGATGGAAGTGACATCAACCTTAAGTTTCTCCCAAACGTATATTCTTTCAGCATTGTACAGGTTATAGATTGAGAATCCTTTGGCTCCTCCAATGAATACATAGTCTTGTGACATAGCCATACAATTGGGTCTTTGGTTGATCTGTGAAAACAAAAGCAAAGAGAAAAGGAACTACTCTCAGCTGTCACTGTCTCCAAGTAACACAGGTAATTTCAGAGAGCATCAAGGGCTCTGTCTACATATATCATCCTGAACAGAGCGCTGATCTACAACTCTTGCCCAAGCATTAAGACATTCGCAGCATTTCACATTTAGGGAAAAGAGGTCAAAGGAAACAAAGGAGGCCAAAACAAAGGAAACAAAAGAGGTCAAAGGAAACAAAGAGCTGAAAACAGGTGTACACAACACTAAATATGGCCATAGGCCCTGGGCATTCGTCACCCAGTACACATGGGACGAACAGGAGCTGAGCCATGGGTAGACTCGTAGTCATCAAGCAAGAGAGCAGGTTAATTAATGCCTTAAGGAAGATTCTCCAGTACCAGTAGCTGAATATAAAAGGCCTCTGTATAATCTTTAATCAACCAAAATGCCCAGTTTCCCCAGTTGGCTACCAAAGCTATTTTGATGAGTGTCAGGGTGCTTATAATCTCCCCCAAATGCACCTGTCTTGTCCAGTGAAGGTTTCAGGAGGATATGTTCCCCGGCACACGCAGGTGTTTTCATTTATTAACACGGCACTGAGAAGCCAGAATGCCTGCTCGATACCTGGATTCCTGTGACTGGAGTGTAGACAGTGGGCTGGATCCGGGTGCTGTCAGCTTCTCTCAGTGCAACCCTTTCTTCTATAAGTTCCCACGACCGATCAAACAGAAGGTTCACCAGCTTGTTGATCATTCGATAAGGCTGAGGCAGGGAATCCAGGCCCTGATCTGGATCCTGGAGGACATAGTCTTCCTCATCATCATCTTTAGGCCAGTCCTTCTCTGTGGGGGACAGCACCTCTGGTGGTCCCTGCCGTGTAGAAATAGGCAGCCTCTTCTTCTTCGTCCAGCTTCCTTTGGAGTATGACATCACCAAAGGTGGCAATGGTAGCCTGTGTGAAAAGCTGAGGAGGGAAATAAAGGAATTCTGAGAAGAAAGGGAAGCAATAAGAACCCAGAACCATGCTTCTCTGGTACAATACCCTCTGGAGACTATCTATTCCACAGTCTGACATTTCTCTTATTTATCACAGGACTGTTACCAGGTTCCTAGGATACAGTCTTTGTAACAGGAATACTATCAGGAGAGACAGCTGATTTCTAGGCTCAACCAGGAGGAGATGTGCTGCAATGGAAGGAGAGGAATTTGGCCAAGTTCTGAGGATGGTAGTGGTGTCTTGTCCCAAATGGAGCTCATCATCTCTCCTACAATGAATGCTTTCTTCTGACTGTCCATCTCTGCAAATGGCTGTGCTCAAGGCGGCAGGGCAGTGGGCCACGACTCTCCCACTTTCTTTTCTCTCACCCGCAGTCAAGAGCAGTTCAAGCACTGCCAAAGCTCCCTGTCCAATCTGTCCCTTTTCCTGCTCCCACTGCTGCCACCCATGAGCTGTAGGTGCATGCCTTGGGCTTAGGTGACTGTTCAAGGGTCTATGTAAATAACTGAGGCAAAAAAAAAAAAACCCTTACGAAATCAAAATAACTAAATACTAAGAAAAATATCAATAGCTTATTAGCTCCACTAATAAAAAGTTTAGATTTACAAGAAGAGAATAAGTAATCTGTACCTTAGAGAATTCAACATTGTATATGAAAAGGATTTCAAGTATTATACTGTAGAAAGCATTGAATGCAGAACTTCAGAAGCATGAGTAGTGGAGAGGGTAGAGGAGTAGGGCATCACACGGAGCAAGTGTCTGAGGGCCATGGAAGTCTGATAAAGGCCCTGCTGCCATAATTATCTTTTCTCACATGCGTGCTGGGGTACCTTTGTGATATTTGCAATGCCTGGGTGAGAAGACTCATTATCACCTGGGAAAGAACTACCTGAACTGATTAATGGAAACAGTAGCCTGAGCTCACACAGAGCCAGGAATAATGTATATTTCAACCAACCATAGAGAGTCTCATAATTCACAACTTTGGGTAGAGTCCTCAGAAGATTCTTATCCCAGTAGTGGGAAAAATCAGCCCTAGAACAAATGCTGCACTGGTATTACTCAACAAATCTGAGAATCGAGAAGATCAAACTGTTTCTAAGAAATTTAACTGCATCCTAGAACAAAGCTCAAGAATGCTTACAGGAATACAAAAATATCCAGCATCTGATGAAGCTGGCAATGTCTGAGATAAAATAAACAATTAGCTGGCCTGCAGAGAGGCAAGAAAAAAATAAGTCATAATGAAGAATAAAATCAATCAATTGAAGCCAACCTGGAATCAATATAGATTTTAAGAATTAGGAAAAAAAAAAAAAGAATTCGCAGGGACACAGATTTAGCTCAGTGGTTCCACCACCTGCCTCACAAGTGCAAGGTCCTGAATTTAATCCCCGCTACCAAAAAAAAAAAAAAAAAAAAAAAAA